CATGTTTTTTCAGCGTTCTTCAAGTCGATTTTGTGGTGTATGGTATTTTTTGAATGACCGGCCTTATAAAGGATTCAACTTGATGGAAATGCACGCATTTTTGTGTGAAATGTGAAAACATCGTGCAGAAAACACCAAAAGCATGAAAAAAAATCGCATTCGGGCGATATGGTCAAGAATAACCGGAAACAACGGCAAAACCATCTTTGAATGAGTGGTTTCACCATGGGATAGTTTTTTCCCCTATAATAAATTTATTTGAAGCGCATGTTTTTCACAAAGTAAGTTGCGTTTATTTTGCGGTTCAGTATATATTCTTTAGCATCTGTGAGAGAGACTGGGTATGGCGGTGACAAACTTATAGCCATCAACAGGGCGACAACCCGCGCGTGAGTGATTGTGGTTTTACGCCGCTTTTAGCAATATTCCAGCAATATCACGGCTTGGGACATGTGATATTGCTGGAATATTGCTAAAAGCGGCGTAAAACCATGCTCACTCACTACTTCGCTACAATGGTGTTTATCTGTCCATTGATTACATGTTTGTAATTACCAACATACATCATTCCTACCTTTACAACATAGTACAAAATAATATACCTGACACAATTTGTTTACGTTGGTGTATCAGGAAATACAGTTAAAACAAACCATAGCATACCCCTGAACACGTTCTCTATGCTGTTCTCTATGCGCATGTGTAAGTATGTATAGCATGTGTTGGATTAATGGTCACATCTGGTGGCATCAAAGTTGTTAATATATGCAGCATTATTTATTACGTTACACTATTTAATCAATAATCATAACGCGCAATAGATTAATTAACGTTTGTTTTTTTCGTCTACTACATTAACATATAAGTGGTTAGTTTTATTTTCATAATGCATTACACGATCACAAGTGTGTGTCTTAAATAACTGTCTGCATCCGAGTTTACAAGTGCATATGATAATTGTTGTTATAACGGGGTGATGTACTCAGTACGGCCTTTGTTTCAGTCCTTGGAACTGCGTGACCGGTGGAGACTGACAATGCGCATGTCACACAGTACATCATTACGGATAGTGACGACCCACTGACACGTGGTCAAAGGGAAACTGTGACATTCAGCACCCGTATAGATCAGTGTGAGTGAGTGAGTGAGTGAGTATGGTTTTACGCCACGGGGACACCAAAAATGGGCTTTGCACAATGTACCCATGTAGGGAATCAAACCCGGGCCATAGGCGTGACGAGCGGAAGCTTTAACCACTAGGCTATACCACAACACACACACACACGCACGCACGCACGCACGTATAGATCAACACACTGCGTAAAGTAAATGTACAGGGGAACGTTTATGTCAAAACTGTACTTTATATATATTCGATGGGAGGGGTGGCGGGGGAGCCTTGTGGTAAAGCTTTCACTCGCTACGCCGTGGACCCAGGTTCGATTCCCCACATGGGTACGATGTGGGAAGCCCATTTCTGGTGTCTGTTGCCCTGATATTGCTATAATATTGGTGAAAGCAGCGTAAAACCAGACCCATTCACTGTACAAGGGAGTTCTTTCATGTGAACAACAAAGCCACAAGTTTCTCGTTACTCAATTGCAAATGCAATCATACAGGACATTTGTATATCGAATATGACAGAGTATAGTTTAGCTCAACAAGTGTTTCAATAGTCTCAGAGGTAAATGTTTTCAAAATGAAATGTAGCTTACCTGTAGCTTACCTGTAGCTTACCTGTACCTTACAGTAACTGAGACTGCTCCTGGTCTGTAGTTTCATATGTAGATGAATGGATATGTGTTTACGAGATCATGAATAACGAGAAGTTCATGGCATTGTGATTTAGGAACAGTAAGTTGTCAGGAATGTGTTACTATCTGATGTAAGGAGCGTTGTGGAAGTTGCCATATTTAGATGTTTTAGGGGTCAAGAGTGATCTGTAATCTTCAGGACGATTTTGTAGTGAGTGAGTGAGTTTAGTTTTACGCCACACTCAACAATATTCCAGCAACATGGCGTCGGTCTGTAAATAATTGAGTCTGAACCAGACAATCCAGTGATCAACAGCATGAGCATCGATCTACGCAATTGGGATACGATGACATGAGTCAACAAAGTTAGTTCCGTCAGTTGCCCAGTGGGCGAAATAACCACTGGCCCGCAAGCCCGTGGCTAGTAAACATCCAGTCGGGCTAGTAAATCTCCACAGTTACTGGTCCGACTGGCTAGTGCATTGTCATGGGGTCATTTTGTAAATATATCACTCTCTCCGACTTGTTAAGTTATTATACACTTTTAAATAATGCACGATTATGGCCTGATAAAAATGTTCATCATATTAGCAGCTTAATGATCAAACCCGTGTCTACATTCAAATTTCGGCTTGTGAAATTGTTTTGTGGGCTAGTAACTTTCAGGCACAGCTATCCCAACTGGCTAGCAAAATCTGGAAACTATGTCGCACACTGCAGTCGCCGCTTACGACAAGGACCGCCTCCGTGGTGTAGTGGTTAGAGCGTCCGCCCGGAGAGCGGAAGGTCGCGGGCTCGATCCCCGACCGCGTCATACCTAGCGCTCGGCATTAATGGGTACAACAAGGACTGGTCGGCTCGGAGTCGGTATAATGTGTCTGAGAGGGGTATTCATGCTTCACTGCGGCATGGTATCTCAGTGGGCTAGCACTATAACACCAGCTTAAGTCTGGGCTAGTACAAGCAGCCGCACATACACATACACACGCATGCACGTCGTCATATGAGCGAAATATTCTCAAGCACGACGTAAAACCCAATTTCACCTCACCTCTTACGACAAGCATGGGTTACTGAAGATCAATTCTAACCCGGATCTTCACGGGTGCACGATTTTAGTGCTTCATGAACACCTGCTCATGATATAGTCGGCATCGTACAATCGACCCTGCCTTCAGCAGAGATTTCCTGTGGGTATGGAAACGGTTACTGACGTCATTATTGTAGCTACCGAACTACCATCGGGAATAGATTCAAGGTATTGCTTCACAACAGCCCGGAGCCGTTATGGTTTATTAATGTAGTGATGTAGTAAAATGGTTCTGAGGTTAATACTGACGTGTTGTATTATTTGAGTATAAATGTAGTTGACTTATTCATGGCACTATTGAATGTAAACCGCGAACGCGATTTCTACTGAAAAAACTGGAATCCAACCAAATATGTGACAACCACATTGAGTCACTGGTAGCGCGGTCATTGAAGACATTGTACCGAGAATATCTGATACAATAATCAAATGTTTATTGCATCAGATATTATTGTGTCAAACAACGGTGCCTTCTAAGCACTACAGTTTGTATAGTATCCATTAACGGATCCTGATACGGAAAAAGGGACAAAACTCTGCACAGCGGACAGTGGTATCATAGAAAGTGGATAATTTCGTAACTTCCACCATGTGCACCCATTCTGTCAAGATATAGGAGCTCCGGCACACATTCACAACTCGTCAACTCACCTCAACGGAGTTATCCCAACCACGCCATTCGAGCCATCCAGCTAGACACACATATGTATCCCCTGACCTATATACTACACCGCCAGAGTGCACACTTGAACATGACCGGATGTCTTCATTCCGAGGACTTTCACCCACAAAAGACGCCAAGAGGTCAAAGTGAATCAATTATTTGCGCCGAGGTGCCTTAGGGGGCCGTATGCGTGGCGGTCGCTAAACCATTGTACATTGTTGGAATCAATACTTTATATGAAACAGACATATCTCTATGGTAATAATAAGTCCTAAATTGATAGCATTCATCGCTTGAACACAAACAACATGTTTTTAACTTGTTTTCATATTTCAACCAAGTAAACTGAGACAGCAAATAGCCTGAAGCCAGTACTTTGGTACTGGAATTATATTATCGTTTTGGTATTTTTGTAAATTGTCACAGAAAATGTTATATCTTTTGGCAATCTTCTCCCCATCCTTACAAGTAATTTAGATATTTGTATTTGTCACATTTCTAAATATTTAGTAATTTAACAAATTATGAACGTCAGTAAACTCTCGTGATGTATGTACATTATGCATTGTTAAGAAGATTTACCACTCACTCACTAATCTTCTCTGTACTATGGGCCAGTTGCCACCACTTCAGAAAACAAACTAAAACAAACAGCACACTTCCATAAAACAACTTCTATTGGAATATAAGTAAGGATATGTACAGTGACAAGTTTAATAATACAGTTAGATTTGTTTAACATAGATGTACGTTTCAGACCGGCACAAGTATCTAAGGCAATAACTATTAGTTTAGATCATATTTTCTAGATTTAAAAAATATATATAAAAATTCCCCAGAAGACACCATCGTGTACTGCCTGTTTCTCAAGATTGCCTCGTTAAGGGATAGAGTTCATTAATGTAATTTACATCCATGGACCTATCATTCAGCACTGATTTGAAGCAAGGCTACATATTTTATTTATTTTATATGCTAGTGGAAAACAGATGTGTTTTGTCCGAGCGTTGTATTGCTTAGAGTAAAACTGACATGGACATATGTGACCTACAAGTTAGACATTCTGTTCTTCGAATTCTGTAAGTGAAATGAGGTTCCAAAGAATTCCAAGGTAATACTGGCATGACTTCTCCAAGCACATCAATGTATGAATAATGTCAGGTCCGTGCCACCTATAAGTAAGGTTAAAGAACAAATATTAAATATAATGTCAGGGAAAGGGGATACTTAGCTCTCCAATGAGACACCAAGTAATACTATGGTGGTAACCAAAGGCCAAACCGGCTACAATCGGTCTTGGGGGTGGGCATATCAAGGCTGCTTCCATTAACAGACTTACAGACAGAGTTTATTTCCAGTAAAAGGCCGTAGGCCCAAAATACATTCAAAAGGAAATCCAGTGTAGTCAGGGGCACAATGCTCATTCAAGTGTGTTTATAATAATCCCTTTAACATAAAATAGATACAAGGCAACAGATTTTACAGTGTCTACATTAGTATTCTTGAAAATATTTGCTAAAGAATATACAGTATAAGGCTTTTTAACACATTTTGTAATAAACCTCTCTCTTAGTTGTGAATAGGATTCACAAATGAACAGTATATGAAATCAATCTTCAATATAGGTAAGGCCTTTAGATTTACATGATGTACAAAATCTTTGATTATAATCACTCCATTAACTGTACCTGGCAACCGTTACCGGAAGAACTTAGAGGAAAACCCTGTCAGCTATTTACCTGCACTAGTCATGGTCAACTATTTGCATGCTCGCTGGAAATGTATGTCAATCGGTGACCTAGTCTCCGGAAACCCAAGTCAGTCATTACTCCACGTCATCCATTGATCTAGTCTCTGGATTTCTTCGTCAGTCGTGTACATACTCACCAGAAATCCCTGTCATTTATATAACTTCTTCATCCCAGTCAATTAATCACCATAAATAGTGTAATCCCGAAGCGTGTACTGGCTTGAAGAGATAAGCCACGCTAATGTTGTCCAATACATGACCTGCTTATTGTTTTACGGTAATATACCGGACCAAGTCATTGTTCTGCCCAGTGTGTTTATATATTCCATGCAGGTCATATCCGAGTGTTAATTATGCACGTCGTGTCGACACAGTCAATACGTTTTATGCATGGTTAAATGGTACTTTTATATGAATAATGCGACGTCCGTAATAACATTAGCCCAGCCTACCTCTAAGACGTGACAACACAGAACAAATTGGTCCAGCCTACCTCTAAGACGTAATAACATTAGCCCAGCCTACCTCTAAGACGTGACAACACAGAACAAACTGGAAGAACTCTCCGCTCCAGTGGTCAACTCTTGCTAGTTGTCCCCGTGGACAAACTCAAAATCTTTGGTGCAAATTCATTTTCTCAAGCTGCTGCCACTCTCTGGAACTCTCTACCATCAGATCTTAGAACCTCGCCATCGCTGCCACTCTTAAAGTCCAAGCTCAAAACTCATTTTTCAAGAAATATCTTTGAACACCAACTTTCCTGTACATCGAAAGTGTATACATGTTATGCGCTGAGAGCATGTCCCTGAGTGACGTGGATGAGACGCTATAAAGGTACTCTCACTATTATTATGTACACCAAATCTGCAGAAGCTATGATTATTACGCCAAAGCTGTATGCCAATGCTTTTTGGGGTATTTTTGGGGTAACGTAATAGATCGGTTTCTTGAAAGCGCCAAAGATACCGTTGCTCTCAGTCATTATGCTGCGTGATATTGACCACTTGTCACATGAAGATGGCGACTGGAGGTGCAGGAAATGGTCACATATTCGCGACCCATGTCATCGTTCTTTCTTACAATGAGTGGAGTGAGCGGGTTTAGTTTTGCGCCGCTTTTACAATACTCCAGCTATATCACGGCGCAGGACACCAGAAATAGGCTTCACACATTGTTCCCATGTGGGGAATCGAACCCCTATCTTAGGCGGGACGAGCAAAACGCTTCAACCACTCGGCTACCCCACCGACCCAACAGCGAGTGGAAGGAATTTCTTCTACAGTATATTGACCGTACATCAGAAATCATTGTACCTGATAATGTTATGTCAGGTGTCAACTACAAACAACAAGGCGTGCATCTGGTACTTTTAGTTTTAATAATTAGTGTTCATGAAACATCTTTTTATCGGTTTTCCTATAAACCCATGGGCGCCTGACTCCTCAATCCACTCTTCATGAGATGAACCCTGAATAAAAAGGAAATCGAATTATGATATAACTTATTTCACTTGTATGCGATTAACAATGGCGACACTGGAAAATTGAGCAGTCTCCCTGATATCTTATCACATGGTGTGTTTTAATATACGGTACAGTGCATTATCTCCCACAGCTATGCAACACAGTAACCTTGTATGTAAAGGGCCATTACAACAGGCTCACTACTACTTGCAGGTCACAGGAAAGTTTCTCAGTATGTTTGATTGGGTAGCGACTCAGAACGAAACATTTGTGTGGCATTTGTCCAAGGCATTTATCGTAATCCCATACATATGTAATTCTCTGGATAATCGAGGCCAAAACGCATAGATGTATAATACTCTGGACAATCGAAAACGCATAGAGATTTGACACTCTGGACAATGGAGACCAAAACGCACAGAGATGTAATACTCTGGATAATCGAGGCCAATACGCATACAGATGTAGCAGTCTGGATTATCGAGGCCAAAAGGCACAATGATATGATACTCTTGATCGAGGCCAGAACGCATAAAGATATAAAACTCTAGATAATTGAGACCAAAACGCATAGAGATATAAAAATCTGGATAATTGAGGCCAAAACGCAAATAGATATAACCCTATGGATAATCGAGGCCAAAACGCAAACAGCTATCACTCTGGATAATCGAGACCAAAACGCATAGAGATATAATACTCTGGATCATTGAGGCCAAATGCAAAGAGATATCACTCTGGATAATCGAGACCAAAACGCATAGAGATATAATACTCTGGATCATTGAGGCCAAATGCAAAGAGATATGACTCTGGATAACGTTTTGTACTACCTTAGATCAAGTCGTAAGCTTCCATTCTTGCAAGTCTGGCGAGTCTGTTGTAGATGTTCTGTGACCGGCGTCCTCCACGTCCACCACGTCGACCACCACGTCCAAACATGTACATAGGGTATTCGAAGTCTGGGATATCTGGCATGTCAATGTCGTAGCCATAGCTGTATGGATATGTGGACCTATAGCTGGGCATTCTGTAGGCGCTCGCGACGGCGACAGCGACGACAAGGAGGATGAGGGCGTGTTTCAGATGCATGACTGATATATGAAGTCACAAACCTTTTTAAGTTTACAGATCTGGAACATAATTTCACTCCTATATGTATTATATGTACACTGTAACTATCTTGCCATATCTAAGGTTAATTGGACGATTTTTAATCCTTAATCCAAAAGCTGTGGAGGATGATATTCCAAAAAGACATCTGGGGTAATGAGTTATCTCGCCACGCCAAGTGTCTGGGTTCGAATCCCCATAGAGGTACAGTACGTGAAGCCCAAAAACATTGCAACATGTTATGAAATATTTTCGCCCATGTTGTAGCACGAATACCATTTATAAAAGCATGTCAATGACATCTTAATCCTTGTGAAACATTTTCATAGCGTTACAAAAACGTTTTGACGAAAATATCTCTATTATTACGTTGCATTATTTGAATATTCCGCGAATCCGAACAAAACCAACACTACTCGCAATTCAATGTGTGAAGCATATCACGTGAGGAATAATGCCGCAACCTGCACGTGCCTCATTAGCAAACTGAACAGAACATGTCTATATCTACCCTTATAGAACATTGTTTAACTGAACTTGGTTTCAAGAGACTTGAAGGTAAATGTTTTAAATGAAATTTAACGTACCTGTCTTTGTACCTTTCCGAAGCCTAGCCTGCAGGTGAAGAGAGGTGAGATTGTGATACCTGTGCTGGAGTTTAGTCCCTTATAAAGATGTCTGTAGATGGCTGGATGTATGTTTACGAGATCATTAATCACTAATAAACATTGGATGTGTTGATTGGAACAATACATTTGGATGTTGTATATAATGACGTAAGGTCCACCTCGACACAGTTACTTCAAGACATGCTTTATTGCTGTATATTTATGGCATTCAGCAATTACTAAATTTACGATGTTTGATTGTAATGAACTGTGTATGTCAATAACTATATCCGATGAATGTGTCTTGTGGCAATATGTATGTTTGCAACATCTGGTATCGCAATTCTATATTTTAAACTTTGAAATTGGATTTGACCCTACAATTATAAAAGTTAAACACCAGGCTGAAAATATTCGCCGAAACGCTGAAAACGTTAGATCCAGAAAACAACACCGATACTCGTGGCAAATGCATAACCGTGAAAAAAACATTTCTTGTTTGTTTTCAGCAACCTTTAAACAGTGGACTCTGTATAATCCGACATCTGAATTATCCGACAATCTGTGAATTCCGACATATTTTTGGGGTTCCGGCAGCGTTCTTCTATATTATCATCATTTAAACATTGAATTATCCGATATCTGTACATTCCGAATTCCGACACAATTTTCTGGTCCCAATGACATTATTTATCTGTACAATCCGACATCTGTACTTCCTTTTCGTCATCGCTTATATGTACTTACTCATATATATATATACAAGACTTTACATCACAAGTAGAAGATAGAAAGATGAAGAACTATGTACAACAAGAATTACCAGATATGTCAACCTCTGCATTGTTATTGGTGCAAACATTGTCTTCCGTCGTCAAAACAGTGAAAAGATTCATCTAGGTTTTTACTTTAGCCCGGGGCCAAGAACAGGCGCATATCAAGCCATTTTCCCCGTTTAAGCCCGATAGGTTGCAAAGCTTTATATTTACATAGTATTGAGGGCTTTGCCCAACTATTATAGCAAAAATCATGTGTAAGCCCGGTTTTTTTTATAATGGTAGTGACGCCCCTGAAGAAGGTTTAATAATTAAATGATGAAATGAAAGTAACATTGTGACGTGAGGTAAATATCAGTTATGTGCTATTTTGGGGTATAACTGTAGCTGATATAGCTATTGGTGCTATGTTTAAAATTAAAATAGAGATCGCCATTTTTACAGTGAAAACTAAAAGCATCTGTGGGTGGGTGAGTGAGTGAGTTTGACGCGTGGAAAGGTTTCCTGAAGTTACGTGGTGTTAGCATACATGTTAGACCTTGAACACCCAGATAATGGGTATTGCTTTCAGAAAACAAGGATCTTCATACTGATTTGAAACTATCGATTAATTGAATTTGGCTTGTTAGGGGTGTAACTCTGTACAGTCTCAGATGACTGAACCAATGTTGACGGAACCGATTGAGACTGATAGGGTTATGCTGTACTGGCGTGTAAGGGACGTAACTCTTTTTCGTTGACATTGCATTGCACAACTATGGAATCCTAGAAGGGACATTGTCGCGTTGTCGCATTGTCGCCCTCTCAAAAAGTAGCAAAAAGAGGCAAAATTCACCAAAGCGCGACAATGCGACAACGCGACATTTCGGCCATTTGTCGCATTGTCGCGTTTTGAATAATATTTTTCTATTCATCCAAAGGACGACAATGCGACATAGCGACAATTTTCAAGGTCAAAATATGTCGCGTTGTCGCATTGTCGCCCCATCTAAGATGTGTTAAAAAAGCCTAAAAATGAGCGACAACCCGACAATGCGACAACGCGACAATGTCCCTTCAAGGAGTCCATACACAACTAGCTGTCCAGTGTAATATTGCGAACCATTGCAACAAGTACGTTCACCATATCGGTTCTCATCATATATAGTCACAAGGTGAACATATCCCAGACAAACACACACAAACACTTTGATTCCTGTTGGAATTGTTTAGCCCATTCACCACTTAATTGTCTGGCTTGCTGTCAGACCGCCGTCGCATGCCAAGAGAACTGATGAGGCGTCAGGTTGTATTACCAGCCTGGTTCCCTGGGTCTGTTGCGCCTGTGCTAACAGACCCAGGGAACCAGGCTGGTTGTATTACCTGCTTCTGGCAAATTGTGTGAATGGCTGGTGCTACGGTAACTGGTAGGGCAGGGCATGCGCACCCTTTCCGCGAACCCTGTCTTCACTGAATTCAGTGGTCCACTCATTTTCACAGTAAGCATCACTATTAGTAATGTCATCACACTGTACATCAACATCGTTAATTGTATAAACTCTAATATCCTACAAGTATATATTCTCCTTGTTTCTGATATTGTATATCACTTGCTTGATAGTGTTATCATCTACACACATCCATTGTAATAAAGAAGTTGTCTATCCATAAAATATAAATCGTTCCTTTTCACCTGATTAGTTGCCCTATACAAAAACAAATACAAAAAACATGAGTTGCAGAAGATCAATTCTACTCCGGGTCTTGAACACCTTGAGACCGATATTTCCGTTTCCTCACTGGTACACTATTGAATAGTTTGAAAACATGTTTTCGAAGACGTACTAAGAAACTGACGTGCATTGTCCATCAAAGTCATTGTAGACTATATATTCAGTGAACGGGCCCAAAACGTTCCTGGAACAATAAGCTGTTTCCTTGGAAACATTCAAACAAGACTGACAATGACCTTCCACGCCCATTGGCGTAAAAAGCATACCTAAAACATAAATAAAATGTGAACGTTTTCGGTTGCAGATAAACATTTTTTGCATATTCTTTTAGAAAACCCGATAAGTTTATACGACTGAAGAAAACTTGACCATAGACTGGGTTGTTTCTTCTTTACCTATGAAGTCTATCTAGGGCAACAACATATATGATGACATTCCTATAAACATTCGGGGCGGTGGGGTAGTCTAGTGGTTAAAGCGTTCGCTCGTCACGCGGAAGATCCAGGTTCGATTCCCCACATGGGTACAATGTGCGAAGCCCATTTCTGGTGTTCCCCGCTGTGATATTGCTAAAAGCGGCGTAAAAGCAACCTCACTCACTCACTCCAACGAACATACAGATACTCGTTGCACTGTCAATGTAATTTTAGGCAGTTATAATCAACTTTGCGAAATGGACAAAAATTCAGATCAGCAAGAAATGTTTTCTTAACAACCCTCGATAAGTTATTACAATTCCTTCACGATGTCTAAATAACTCGGTTACGAACAGTTTTCTGTTTGCCTGGAAGTCCCACAGTTAATTAAACAAATTATAACAAGCTCCAAATTGATGTTTTAGAAATATCTCTCCATCGACGTCACTAGCCCATTCTTTGTAATCTCTCCAGCCACAAAAACACATTTCAGTCAACACATCAAATATACCACAGGAAACCAAACTTAAGTCATTACGTTGAGTGGCATGAGTATCCTGGTTGCCAGGACAACCATGACAAGTGACCATGTTCTGTGACAGTATCAGTAGATTCTGAAGATAACAAGCATACTTAGGTGACAACGTTGCACAAAGTTATAAGAGTACTTCATCCGTCGTCATCGATTCGTGACGCCTCGATGAAGCAATTGCTTCCTATATTACATGGGTTCAACGTTGAGGGCTTAGTGCAGTGGTTTGAACTTAGATATACGCGGAGAAGGTGTAGATGCCACGGGATGGTGCACAGTTCCTTGGTTGCTCGTTGACTGAGGTGTTTTATATTAGGAAGTGTTCGTTCTTTCTAGGCATGGACATGGTGAAATATATTGATACAGATGTTTTTGTTTCTTTGTTTATTGTTTAACGTTGCACCCAGTGTGTGGTCCTTGGCATAAGCTCAGGTCACAAACCAGTTGAAGTTAAGCAATGTTGGGTGCGGAGAGTCCTTGGATGGGTGACAGTGTTTGGCAGCTTGACCCCTGAGAGTTCTAGGACTTCCGTCCTGCCCCACAACAATGCATATGTGATACATGTGGTCTCACCTTAGGCAAGTGAGTTTGTTCAAAATTGCCTCTGCTCACTAAGAGAAAATGGGTACCGGGTGGGATAAGTCATGTGACTATATCTTTCTCGCGCCTAACAGGCAGCTTAGGTTACCCTGGGTAATAATGTGCCGTGCTTTGATTGTTACGATATAAGCACACCTGGTGAGGAGTTTGGCGCTTTATAAATGGAGTCATTATTGTTATGTTTTACCGATTAAGAATGAAATATGCAGTAGAAAGGGTTCGGGTGATCCTGGCACAGTCAGGCTGGTAAGGCTCATCATCAGCTCGGGGCCCTTGCCCAATCTACACGCAGCCCAGACAGAGATTGGGACTTCTCCCAGGAAATGCTGTCTAGTCGAACCCACCAAGAACTTTCCGGAGAATATGTAGACTCCCCAACACTGCAGCCTTCTGCATTACCCAGAGAGTCTGAAGGGCTGTGCTCCCGGTGGAGAATCCGGGCACTCTCCTGATCTGCGTCAAGAGATCAGGAGGTACCAAGCCAAGGTCACCGAGAGCAATGGGGAGCCTGACGACAGTGTACTTGGGATGGAAGCGAGAAATCTCAAAGGCGAGGTCCGCATATTTAGCATGCTTTTCCTGAATCTTGCCAAACACATTGCTGTCAAAAGGGACAGAAAATTCAATGATATAAATAAATTCATTAGTTTTATCAAAAAAGGACAAGATCAGGTTTGTTGGCTGGAATCTTTCTGAGGCTGTATATGGGCCTATTATAAAGAAATTTAAAAGCATCGTTTTCCATGACGCCCTGGACATGTTCAGGGTCGTACCATAGCCACAGGCATGTCCAAGACGATAGTAGAAGCAACGAGCCATGTCTTTTAAGATATGTTGTTTGTGCCAAGGGAGGGCATCCACTGACAAGGTGTTGGACAGTCTCTGTAAATTCATTGCAAAGTCGACGTTTCATATTGTTATTTTGTTTCAGAATCACATTTTGTTGGCGATTGCGAGTGGGAAGTGACTGGTCCTGAGCAGCAAAAATGAAAGCCCTCAGTTTCACATTTAAGACCAGCCGACTTCATCAAGGCAAAGGAGCAGGTTTGATTACTGGTCTGTTCCACACACATATTCCAGCTATATGACGGCGGTCTGTAAAATATCGAGTCTGGACCAGAAAATCCAGTGATCAACATCATGAGCATCGATCTAGACAACTGGGATACGATGACATGTGTCAACCAAGTCAGCGAGTCTGACCACCCGATCTCCATCTTGATGATTATGAATCTATTTATAATTGTTACATCATTTTACATATTTATTAATGTCAGGTTATATGGCCATGTATTCCTATAACTTTGTGTCTATCCCTTTGACACTCTCACTTATCTGGGGCGGTGAGGTAGCCTAATGGTTAAAGCGTCGGCTCGTCACGCCGAAGACCCGGGTTCGAATCCCCACATGGGTACAATGTGTTAAGCCCATTTCTGGTGTCCCCCGCCGTGATGTTGCTGGAATGTTGCTAAAAGCGGCGTAAAACAAAACTCAGTCAGTCAGTCTCACTTATCTCTGAGACATCCTTGTGTTCGCTCGTCACACCGACGACCAAGGTTAGATTCCCTGCATGGGTACCATGTCCCAGAAATAATACAGCTGTGATAATGCTAAGATTGACTTAAACCATACTCACGCACTCTGTAAATACATCTTCCCTTTTCTCTATCATACAAATCTCAATTCTACCGTTGAATTCTGTCTTCCGTGCGTCTACCATCCTCATCTACGAACAGAGAGCACCTAAAACTAACGCTCTTGGACAGAAACACGCACATTGTCATATGTAGAGCTATTGAGTCGATACGTTCGTAAATATTATTAGTACCAAAACGTATCTTTGTCCACTTATACATTCAATAGCTTCCCTTTTATCTATTTTGTCATTTATTTAGTTAACTTTAAGGCATTCAATCAATTATCAATTGTCGTATGTTAAAATTATTTGCAACTTGTGATGAGTGGTCATTAGAAAACTTCACTCTCTCGACATCGAGTTCTTAACCTTCTCCACTAGGACAAACAGCCTGAAGGTACTTTGAACTAAAAGATCAAAGGTAAGGTGTGTTTTTGATCATCCACTGAGGCCAAAGAAGAGAGTCGTCATTGTGATGTAAAACAATGCTTGCATGGAAAGCAGTATCAACGCTACTGTGACAAAGAAACCGAGAAATCACTGGGAACATATAAACAAATCACAATTTGATGCAGTCGGAATATAAATGATTCATGAATATAAACACCATGTAAATTATCAGGCCCAGTTTAAGGCTGGCGCTATTCCCTATGACATCTACTTGGATCGAAGGCCCGCGCCGTTGGCAGCTTACGAGTGGACTCTCCGTCAACAAAACTAGTTTGTATGTTGCTATGGGTAATAACCCACTGAGCACTTATAAGATACATATTTTAATAGAGAAACGCTACAGCGGCAGTCTAGAGACTCAGGAGATGATGAAGAAATATGTCGTGTTGTAGTAGCTTCCCGTCCCAGGCAAAATAGGGGTATGTATACACGTGTAGATAGTTGTTGACAATTGATGAACATACTGACATTCTCTTTCTTAGGAACTCTGAACGCTCTGGATTACTGCGTTCAGTGTAATTCTTTGAAATGATCTTTAAAGAGAGAAATGTAATGTATTCGATTCGTTTAATGGTCGTTTAATATACTCTATGCAATGTGCCCGTTTTGTGGGGATGGTCTTGTAGATGAATACCATACCTTATTAAAGTGCCCATTATACACACATCTAAGAGACAAGTATATACCACTACATTACCATAAGCATCCATCTAAACAAAAATTCATTCAATTACTGTCCAGCCATGATACTACTATTTTTGAAAATCTATCAATCTATGTAACTAAAATGTTTAATGTCCGTAATGTAAACCTTGCGCTTGTATAACAAACCATTATGTTTGATTTATTTATGTAATTATTCTCTAGTGAGTGAGTTTAGTTTTACACCGCACTCAGCAATATTCCAGCTATATGGCAGCGGTCTGTAAATAATCGAGTCTGGGCCAGACAATCCAGCGATCAACAGCATAAGCATCGCGCTCTGACCACCCAATCCCGTTAGTCGCCTCTTACGACAAGTATAGGTTACTGAAGATCAATTCTAACCCGGATCTTCACGGGTGGTAATTGTACTATAGACCTCACAGGCCATCATCCACGAAATAAAGAGTCTGAGTCCGATTAATAGCGCAGTCCCTGTGGCCTAGTAAATGGAGTGTCTGCCGGAGAGCGTTAGGTCGGTAGTTTGATCCCATGACCACGTAAAGACTTTAAAGATGGTACTTGTAGTTGCCCTGTCTGACTCACGGTTTCGTTAACATGCTTTCTTGAGAAAAGGTAGGATGTATCTTGTAATACATCAATTCAAAACTAAACTATTTTCTAACGTACGTACCTCTGACAAGTGTAAATTGGCACGGCTCCCACAGTCGAACGCTGTGAACACACAATACCATTTGGAAAGTTCAAATCCCAGATGCAACTCACCCCAACACTACTAGAATCTGTACTTTAGTGAGAAAATTTAATCCCAAATATAATGTACATAACATTTGCCCACTTACTAATAGGTCTGTATTCAAAGTTTCAATGACAACAATTCGGCGTACACTTTCTTTTCCCCTCACTACATCATTTGAAATCATGAAGACTGAAACACTGCCGACTACCTCAAGTCTCGTCCCTTTGAAATAGTTTACATGCCTATTCTATTAGAAAGCCGTAAGCATGGTTCAAGTCAAAACAGGAAATTGCGTCTGACATCATTTCTGTCACAGATGCGTCAAAATTGGACATCAATTTAACACATATTATATTTTTGAACGAGTACGTTGGTTTGAATGCTGCTTTGAGCTATCTTTGCGTATTCCCACCACTGGTCAACCTAATGTGTAAGATGAACCGGATAGGCTTAGGTTACAAATATTTACCTCTTTATTGAAACCCTGGAATTCGTAAAGACCAACGGAAGCGTGCTTGGCGAATTAACATTGCTCTGATTATTTTGAAATGTCCTCCCAGATGTAATGTCAGGTTTAATATGGTGTCAGTGTTAATGTTAAACACACTACTATGGTATTAACAGAATGGTTCGCCAGTGTTAATGTTACACACTATGGTATTATCGTCTGATTATGTGACGTTAAATGTCCTCACCACAGAGAATGGTTCGCCAGTGTTAATGTTAAACACACTACTATGGTATTATCGTCACGATAAGACTGAAACATTGCCGATGTGACGTTAAATATTAACTCACACACTCACTATGGTATCAACAGAATGGTTCGCCATAAAACTGGACGTGTTTGTTTCCGTGTTCCAAATATTGACTTTGAACTACAAATCCTCTCAACGCCCAGTTTAACGCCTTATGGACTACCGGGACGGTGGAGCTGTCTAGTGGTTAAAGCGTTCGCTCGTTACGCCGAAGACCCAAGTTCGATTCCCCACATGGGTACAATATGTGAAGCCCATTTCCGGTGTCCCACTCCGTAAGATTACTGGAATAGTGCTAAAAGCGGCGTAAAACTAAACGGATTCACTCACTCATGGACTACCGATATGTCCAACCTATGCTTGTGGTAAGAGGTAGCCATACAGCTGGAATGTGAGTATTGCGTATAAAAAAGCAAACTATCGATGAGAAATATTCATAACCTCTAACACCCTTGCTTATCCACCATTGCATCTCCATTTTGTTTTGATAAATATCAAGCACCCGTGGCTTCGTTTAGAAAGTGACGTCACAACCTCCATCCCGCCTATCACTAACCTAGCACATAATTTTACTCGCTCGTGAATGTAACTTGTCAGTTACTTTAACAGCGAATAGTTCCTTGGAACCTTTCTGCAATACTATATTAGATATGTTCATCGTCACTACAATTCTTTAACGAACTACATGGTCATAATGCTCTGTGATACGTGGCCCTGGTAAGTTTCTTTATAGTATTGAACTATATACTCGGGAGATTCAATCATGGACTGTTTAAGGGACATGTTTGTTCACAGCGCCAATCTCTGTGTGACACGTCATGTTCCCAAATCGCCGTGTATTAGCCAATCCGAGTTTGGTAGTAAATCTCTGTCAGTACCATCAGTGGGTTCGAGCATCTCACAAAATATTCAACTTCCTACGAACTGCATTATTGTCAGGTTTTCTCCCACACATTGACCACCACAAGTTAGCATGTAACACTCATTCTACAATGACTTCAGTAAGTACTGGATTGTGATTAGCTAATTAAAGTCATTCAGAGTTATACAATCACGTTACAATATATATTTCCAACACAGTATGTATGTTTAAAAAATCTTAATAACGCGGTAGAATGGAGATAAACAAACTACGCGTTTGGGTTTAAATAAAATTTATAGCTATTATAATTTCACTACATACCTCTGATTTTCCAACACAGTATGTTTGTCTCTTAAATGGAACATTTTCCTATGTCCGTGAGTATGTTTTAAGTGTTTTACAATACACGAGTTCTTATCGTGTCGCGTCGTGTCGAGTGGTATCGTCTCCACATGTGATATCATTTCCTGGCCACTGGTCACATGTATCTCCCTGTCCGGAAAGAGTAAATTTCTCCATTTTGCCAACGATTTAGCCTTGGTGGAAAGATTAGTTTCTGGGACACATAACATGGATATATACTACAAACAAAAAGTATGGGAACACCCTAAAATTTGATAGTCATACATAAACGTGAACGTGGTGAGGTCATTTATAGCCTAAGGTAAATGCAACTTTTTGTGTGCTTAGTGGGCACTTTAAACGACATGTTGGAACATTCAGTGGAGCAACTAATTCAATATTTGTTTAGTTTGAGTGAAATGAAATATTGTCACAACAGTGAAAAACAAGGGTGCTTAAACACACCAGCACCATGTCCCAAACACAACAGTTAAGTGCATATGGACGACGGACTTCCCATGCAGCTTGTGGCAACGTTTCCTTTAAAACAAGCTACAGACAGTATTGAAGCCTCACAACTTCTTCACCATGCCACAGCGCAGAATTTTGGCACCCACGACAGAAGCAGAGCCATTGCATGGTTACAGCATGGTGATTCCATAAGAAATGTTGCTCGCCGTCTTCAAGTGTCTCCCTCTGTCATTCACAGACTTAGGGACAGGTTCCAGGCCACTGTTAGACAAACCTCTCTCTGGAAGACCCAGAAAAAGCACCAAGGGCAGATGACCGATACGTTGTGCTCCAAGCCCTTCGGAACCGATTCACAACTGCCAGTGCACAGTTGCCGCAAGCTGCACAGGAAGTCTGTTTTTTCCACCTGCACTAGGCTCTTGTGTTTGGGCGTTTGAATCAAACATGGTGTTGGTGTGTTTCAGCACCCTTGGTTTTCGCAGTATTTGACAATATTTCATTTCACTCAAACTTAACGGATATTGAATCAGTTGCTTCACTGACATGTCGTTTAAAGTGCCCATTAAGCACACAAAAAGTTGCATTTACCTTAGAGTATAAATGACCTCACCACGTTTAAGTTTATGTATGACTATCAAATTTTAGGGTGTTCCCATACTTTTTGTTTGTAGTATATATTTCCTTGCCACAAAGAATCAACGTATGTTCGCAGTTTGTTCATGTGCCTGATACCACTGAGAGCCCGTGGAAAGTCACATCGATATTCTAAGAGGTGGATTCATGTCATCGGTGAGGACGAACAAGGATAGGGTTGTTATAACTGTGAATGGCTGTTATGTGCCACCGTGTTCCAACAGCGTGGAAGCGTACCATACACTTTGAACCAGAATCCATAGATTATTAATATTTGCTTGTCTTGACCATAAAGTAACTGAAAGTCAGCATCCTGCTGTTTTGTCCATATCATACATTGTATCATATATTCATAAACCCAGCTATATAATAACGGTCGTCACGATATGGCTGAAATATTGCCGATGTGACGTTTAATAATAACTCACTCACTCATATAATAACGACATGATCCATTCAAAAATAATAAGAACGTTTTAAAAGAGCAAAACAAAGAGTCCGTTGTACAATCCAGAGTGTGTCAGTGCACTTTCAAAATGTGATGTCACCAGGCGTACCCGAATAGGTAGAAGTTTCCTGACAGAAACACATGCAAAGGCGAGTCAGTTGTTCAACTGAAAAAACCATAGGCTCATATGGTAACAGTCAAAATGAGGAATTGTATCGGGCATTATTTTTGTTCAACTGAAAAAACCATAGGCTCATATGGTAACAGTCAAAATGAGGAATTGTATCGGGCATTATTTTTGTTCAACTGAAAAAACCATAGGCTCATATGGTAACAGTCAAAATGAGGAATTGTATCGGGCATTATTTTTGTTCAACTGAAAAAACCATAGGCTCATATGGTAACAGTCAAAATGAGGAATTGCATGTGGCATTATTTTTGTGTCTGAAATTTGGAAATGTTCTTGAATGGTGTAATCATGAACAAACACCTTTTGTGCAATA